ATTATTGTCAGTGAAAGGTGAGTCACAAAAAAGAACTGATTCAGTTCAGTGAGCAAACGGCTTAGATCTGGTCTCATAAAATAGCGGTTTTGTCCATCTCTAATTTCAGCGGGACAGTGCGAGACCGCAGAGGGTGTGTCAATTCCTGCTTTAAGCAGCACGGTTCTTGAGATCATCAACTGAAAACGTCTGTTTAGTGATCTGTGGCACAGATTTGAAGCCGCATGAAATTCAACATTCAAAGACTTTCCAACTTCCCAGATTTGAAGCCGCATGAATTGCAATTCCCGTAACTACCATCCAAAGACTGTTCCACCACATGTTAGCTGTTGTTTCCAGATGTGGATATTCTGTTCCTAAAGTTAACTGAATACCTGAAATTTTAATAATTTTATTCGCATTCATCCAATATGTTTTTAAAATTAAAAAAAATGGTGTAGTTGCCAACTTTGAAATACGGAAAAACGGGAGGTTCCTGCGGGGGGGATGAAGAAAACAAAAGGGGAAAAAACTGGGGCCTAAACTAGGTTTTTCACGCTGCGCGATGGCATCATTTTAGAATAATATCAAATTCAATTTATGGTTAGTAAACTATTTATAATAGGAATAGGATGTAAAATACAGGGTGTTTATAAAGTCCCGGACCCATTTTGATGTTTAATAACTCATAAAATAATGAAGATATAAACAAACTTATCGCATTTATTTGATGGAATAACTTATATATTTTCCTTTTCAGGTTTAAATATCTTTACTTTTGTAAATATCGTCTGCTTATTAATTGCATTTTTTCTCTCTTTTGTTTTTGGCAACTATTGCAACGTTATGTTTACTTAACATTGGAATTTGAAAACCCCCATGAATACCGTGGGGCACAAAGGGATTCCCCAAAGGTTAATGTGTGGTGTGGACTAATGCACGACCGAGTCATTGGGCCTTTCTTTTTTTACAGAAAAGACGCTCTCATCAGTCGTATACTTAGACATGCTGGAAAACTTCGTATTTCCACAACTAGAAGAGCTTCAGCCACATGTCGTTTTGCAAAAAGATGGTGCACCACCTCATTGGGTTACCATCGTTCGTAGTTCTTTGAATGACCATTTTACAGGAAGATGGATTGAGCGAGGAGGTCCATTTCCTTGGCCATCTAGATCACCTGATATAACGCCGCTGGACTTTTTCCTTTGGGGATTTGTAAAGGACAACGTTTACAGGAGGAAAGTGTCGAACATTCATGACCTAAAAGGCAGAATTACAACCTCAATAGCCTCCGTGGATGCCGACATGCTTGCCGGTACCTGGCGTGAAATTGAATATCGACTTGATATTCTCCGTGCGACGAATGGGGCACACGTGGAAGTTCATTGACAAGGGTCATGAAACATTTTGAGTCAATCTAACCATTTATGTTATTAACTTTAATCTACTTTATTGTTTTATGAGTTACTAAACATCAAAATGGGTCCGGGACTTTATAAACACCCTGTATATTACTCTTTCATTATAAAGTAAAAAATTAAAAGTAAATTAAAAAGCCTATGACTTGCGCTAAAGCTGCATGCAAAGTAATAAAATAATAATTTATAATAAGAAAACTTTCATATACCATCTCCAAAGAACACAAATTCAATTTAAAACCATGAATGAAAAAAAAATTAGTCAGAATTTAAGTTAGTGTTTTAAATAGCCTTCAACTTCTTGTTTAAAATCTGCTAAGAAAAATCTTAAATCGCAAAAATCAAAACCAAAAGTAAATTCTAAATATTGAAAAAGCAGTTATTGTCATTGACCGCAGATTATTCAACTTATCAAGGGGATAAACCAATTTACCATCAATTAACAACTAAATTAAGAGAGTGATTCACCTTACTTCCAAGTAAGCCTCAAATTATTTGCTAGATTCAAACCAAAAACTCAAACTTAATCCTCAATCCAAATAAAGACATTAGTCCATTTAAGCCAAGAATCTTGTTAAACAAAATAGCAAATAATCTTAGAATTAAAGTTTCTATTAAGAACACAATTAATCTGAACGAGATGCTTACTTTAGAAGACATAAACTCTACACTCTCATTTCAATTTCAAAAACAGAAGTAAACGTATTAGAAAATTAAAAGTTAATTAAAAGTCATAAGAAGATCAAAAATGATACAACGTCAAAATTAAGGTTTAAAACATATAGTTGATTACAAGTTTTAAAGATCAAACTAGTAAGTTAAAAGTAATAAACTTGCCTTCAAAATTTTAAGACCAAATGGGTATTAAATGATGGAAGTAAAAGGGTTGTCATAAAGTGCAGTTTTCAATTTAAGAAAGTTTAGCCTAAATCGGCGAGAAAATTGGAATTCTTCTTGGAGATAATACATATTTCATTAGATATTTTAACTTTACGTGCTTCGGCGAATTTTATAATGCAATTTTCTTCGAATTTCATACTGAAAAAATCCTGAATAGGAAAGGAAGCTTCTTTAAAAAGTACTAAGAGTACTTTTAAAGAAGATTAAAATAAAAATAATAATTTATCTGCATATTATTGTGTGGGTAAATTTAGTAACGTACCATTTATTAATGTAAAAATATTAAATTAAGATAAAATACTAGTTAATTAAGTGTTGGCTGAATCTTTTTTTTTCTATTTTTTGTGCGTGTGTTTACAAGCAGACAGTGGAATGACTACAAATGTTGCAGTAGAGTGTGGTGTATTTAATTATGGCAAAGCACACTAGGGCTATCTGTCTAAGGGGAGGGGTGCCTTTCGTGGAGGACTTTCTAAGGGAAACTGGCTCGTATACACGTTACACATGGGGAAAACCATGAAAACACCCATGCAGCCAGCCCGTTCGCGGGATTCGAACCTCGGACCGAACTACCAGTGTTCAGCGACGTTACCGCTCGGCCGCTGGTGGGCCCGTTATATTGCAGTAGATAACAGAATGACTGCAGATTTAGACTAAAAATATTTAGAGTAGTTTTAGATCTAATAAAACTTTAAAAAAAAAAAAACAACCCCCCCCCCAAAAAAAAAAAAATAATAATAATAATAATAATAATAATAATTGCTGAAAATCACAAGGAGGAGGGGAGGAGAACAATATTTGTACACTTTAAGTTTCTTGAATTCAACAACAGGTTTTATTTATCGCTGGAAAACATTTATCATGGTATTTTTCTTAATTCGTTTAAAAATTAAAAACCGAGAAATTCGATGATGTATCGGGAAATGTGAGTGGGGTTTTGCGAACTGTTTTCCTTCATAATGTAGTGATTGGAATTGCGATAAGTGTATTTCTGCATTTAATATTTTTTTGGCTTTTTATCCCCCCCCAGCGTTTTATATGTCTCTGCTGTAACTCTAGGCAATTTAATTTACAATAAACTATAAGCGATATACTGTGCTATTCATAATACCTCCCGGTTTCAAAACGTTCTATTAAAAAAACTAAAGCGAATACAGGTATTTGGTATATTTGGTATATTGAGATTATGGCAAAGCACACTAGGGCTATCTGCCTAAGGGGAGGGATGCCTTCGTGGAGGACTTTCTAAGGGAAACTGGCTCGTATACACGTTACACATGGGGAAAACCACGAAAACACCCATGCAGCCAGCCCGTTCGCGGAATTTGAACCTCGGACCGAACTACCAGTGTTCAGCGACTTTACCGCTCGGCCGCTGGCGGGCCCAAAGCGGATACAGGAGAAACGAATCTTGCACTAAATACAGAAGCAATCCGATTTGTTTTTATAATGAAGCAGCTAGCAGTGTATTGTACATGGATATGCTACAGTTGTGGGTAATGCCGCAGTTACATGAACATGAGAATGACGACTTCGTTTCTCAACAAGATGGAACTCTACCCCATTTCTGCGGGATGTGCGTTGAGTACCTTAACAAACAATTAACTCGTCGTTTTGATTGGGCGAGCTTCCGAAAATGATGTACCTCTTTTGCCATCTCGTTTATAGAATTTAAGACCGTTTAACTTTTTCGTGTGAGGTTAAGTAAAAGACCGTGTTTTTGTATCATTTTGCCGCGTGATTTAGCAGAACTTCGTGAAACGAACACGCGCGTAGTACCGTTGCGACATGTTAATAGTCTTCAAATTGGACTTCGATTGAGTAGCGTGGACCAGTTACACATAACACGTAGTTGTTAAAAACTGATTTTTTGTTTTGCGTTTTTAGCCAAAGGGATTTGAATCCCGAAATCTTAGTTTCGTTTTGGCATTTTGCGTCGGACTCATAAATGTCGGTTCACTTTTCAAACTGTTGCCACAAAAGGTTAGAGTCCTGCATTATATTTGAAGAAATTAAATAATGAAAAATCTGCGTAAATGTATGTATATTTCTCGTATTGTCATAAAATAACGGTACATAGAGTCATCGAATTTTGAATAACGTAATCCTCCAACGAATATGAGCATGTGGAAGACCAAATTTGAAATTTGAAATTTGTTTTATGATCGATTTCCTATTTTTTAAAACTTTGACGAATTTTTGATTAACAAACTCAAGGATTTCAAAGCGAGCAATGGCAACGTAGTGCAGAAAAAACATTTTTATCTCCAGCGCGTGAGTCTCTGTATCGGAAATTCTAAAGATAGGCTCGTTTTAAAACTATTTTGCGATATTGCTGTTGCACTGGATCTTATGGTTTTTAAGTGCGAGGAACATGATATTTAATAAAGAAAGGTAACACACTAAATGTTAAAAAACGCTCCTTTGGACGTATTTTTTTTTTTTTTTTACTATATCCTTCTGAAGGGAATAACCCGGTATATTAAGTTATTTTTTCATTATTATAATACTTTTTCATATGGCTTCTTTATGGTCTTTATTTTATTCATAGCATTTGTTTGCATGGATCACGATGTTAAAGTGCCTGGGAAGCACTGGAGATTTTATTTTGAATCCTTATTAACCTTGCTTAATTTATTGCGCATCATTTCATATTCATGGTTCATTGCATGTTACATGGTTCGAGTAATAACTAGTACTTACTGTTTTGTATAATCACGGTGCCACGTAGAAAATACCAGCCTTTTTGAAATATCTTCGTCTAATAATTCACTGTTTAAAAAAAGAAATCTACATTAATAATGCAATTTAAAACTTTTATGACGTATAGCGAAATAGAAATGGTACTTTTCCGTTTCGCCGGCGCAAATCTCGCCAAGCAGTCTTTGCTGGCGACAACATACAGTATACACATAAAAAATGTTAACAAATGTTAGTTCTAAGAATTTTTTAATTTTGAAGGTATAAACATTTTAGTATGATTTAAAATTTTGTAAAAAGCCAATAAATAAAGACAATAAATTTGTAAAAAGACATTAATTTAAGAATTTACTATGCTATCGTGGTTCAACATCCTGATTTGCCGGTTCGTATCACGTGACCCCAAGTAATCTCATCTCACGTAAACTACGCTACAAAAATATAATTCTCTCAGTAATTATCTACATTAATTTCAAGTTAAATGTTAATTTGGAATACAAGTTTAGATGTAAAAATTATTTCAATTCGTACGAATAGCTTACTCAGAAATTATATAAAACCGCAGCGCTTTTAGTAGTGCATTCTCATTAGAATTGATAAATTTAACCCTTGATTTTGCCTTTTCTATATTTTCGCCTTCGGGTGAGCGGTGTGATTGCGTCCTAATTGGCTTAATTACCGCGAATGGTCTTAGGGCATAAAATTTAATTATATTTGTAAATATTCTATGTAATTGTATGCCAGCATTGAAAGAAACAATCAATCTGGTAAGAAATGGCTGCGACTTGTTTTGAAAAGGAGGAGTAAAAGGTTACCAGCGAAGATATTCCGTTTCGCATCAGTTGTACCATTATTGGCGACTTTATCGTTTGCGCCGGCAAAACGGAAAAGTACCATAGAAATTTCTAAGGGTACTTACAAAGAAAACTTTTGGTTGTAAACCGGATTTTTTTGTTCTTTTTGAACAGTAGTCCTCCAGTGAACACGTTTTGCTTCGTCGGGTACCATAGACACCTAAGATATGTACACAAGATTAAAAATCAAACGTAACATTCCAGTTATGTATATTAGGTGATCCATTTTATAAATTACATAAGTTAGAGGAAGAAAGAGATTCCGTATCGAGATACTTAATATATAATATTGGGACTTAATTGCGCAAATGTTCATAAAAATTATCAATTAGGTATGTTATAAATTAAATGCATTTTAAATTATATAGGTATTATTAAAAAATTAGAAAGAAAGTTATTAAGAAGTGCATTTTTTTTAATCCCTGTTTATAAAGCAATTGCAGATAAATCAAAGGTCTTAGCTTTGCTGAATGCTGACAGTTCGAGAATCAGTTACTTTATGAAAGCTAACTCGTGAACGATAAATTAAAGACCTAATGTTTACTCAATACGAATGCTTGGCAGATTGCATTAGATAATCAGTGCATGTTAGAGAAACGTAAAGTATCTTAAGATTTCAGAAAGGCTTCGGTAAAGATGTTTCTAACGTCAAAGCTTTAAATATAAAATAAAATCCTTTTATTTGAAAAGTATTAAATATAAAATAAAATTCTTTTATTCGAAAAGTAGTAGTGTAGGTAGTATTTAAATAAGCTGACTTAGTGGTTATATTAAATTTCAAAAGTAGTTTAGATTTTACAACTTAAATTGCTGTTTAATTAGTAAAATTTGGTAACTAGGTAAATTAAACGTTACATTTTATCTTTCAAAGTTTGGCATTTTCATTAAAAACTAGCACAGGTGCACTTTCATACAAAATAACCTCTTCTGTAAAGGAAAAAAGTGCCCTTGTTATTTTTTTCTCTTGAAACACCAAGAAAGGTATATAAAATTAAAATAATAAAAATCTCGTATTTAGATAAAACGAATTTCATTATATTTCTTTCGAATTTTAAGTTTGATAAAAATAAGTATGTAGGGTACATTGTGATTACAAGTAAATATTAAAAACATTTAATATTGGCATATAAAAATATGACATAATCGGTGCAATGTAATTTAAAGACATTTATATGAAGCAAATATATTATCATTTTCCCTTCAAATTGAGGACGGCGTTTCAACAAAATTTCGATAGCTTATAAAATAGAATACATGCAGTTAAAAATATACCGGTGTTCAAAATTAAGAGAATTTGCACACTGGTGGATTATGTACAGAAATGATAGACAGGTTTTAATGAAATTTAGTGTGGGAGCAGGTGGATGTAATAGAAAAAATATACCATACAACCGTCATGGTCGACACGTATGATTGTGTGTAAGATTTAGCGCAGGAAGGTCTAATAAAGAGGCTGCAAGATCAAATAAAAAGGAAACTAATAGGGGAATTAGTCTTCTGTCATAGTTACAGAATTTAGGTTTGAGATCTGGCTGAACAATCCAGTCGATTAATAATCTCATTTTCCATATAATCATTCACCAGATTGGTTCTACGTGGACAAGCGTTGTCGTCCATAAAAATGGCGAAGATAGGGCTCTGCCTTATATCTCGCAGCAGTCAGAGGTCTGTGAAAGATCTGAAGGTCTGTATACCCTTCAACATGATGCTTGACTAGACCATCAAACTTCCGTTGCCATACGAGTTTCTTGCTCGGATGTTGGAGGATAGTTAGTAGGTTATTGATCCTCTCCGGGTGAAGATACTTCGAGAATCTGTGATTTGATTAAATTGAGAATTATATCAGTGAAAAGAAAGGTTCTCCAATAGTGCTTGGTCTCAATGTTGTCTGCCCCATGCAAAACGGATTATCTTGTGAGCAGCAGTGGGCAGAATGCGAAAAAGAAGGTTGTTATAAACAGACTTCTCTAGTGCAACCTTCTGAAACAGTAACCCTTGAAACTCTTCTTTTTTGGAATAGTCTGGAGTTTACGAGAGAGCTAAAAAGCTGTTGCATTCCTGTTGTCCCTCGCTGAAATGGACAAATATCGGCCTTCACTGGCTTTCTTGGCTGTCTGCTGACCTAGTTTAGCCTTTATCTCTGCAAATCCGCTAAGCTTTAACTGTTTCTGTTAAGTTGAACGCGACGCTGGACATTGTTTAAATTTCTAGCAGTTTGAACTTAACTGCCCTGCCTCTAGTCTCCCTATGTTTATCCATCTCATTCATCAGTCAAACATTGGAATTTCCCCAAATATTGTAAATGAAAGAGGAAAGACACTACTAAAGTCGCCAAAGAGTGCGAGTAAACGAAAGGTAGAAAATCCCATGTGCGCTTTTAACAACTTTCTTTTAAATATTCGGCTCACACGCTCGTGTGCGCTTGCTTAAGTAAAGATTTGAATTTTTTTGTTTAGAAACACAATTTTTATCTTTCATTTAGTATTTTTCGAGGAAATCGCTAAAATATGCAAATTCTCTTAATGTTGAACGTAAGTGTAACGGAAATCGTATTTATAATGTTCCGAAACCCCGCAGAATTTATCGTTCTAATTTACATTTAAATATTTATTTTTGAAAGAAGAATTTAAAAATTAACTCTTTGCTTTGAGAACTGTTAATAATATTTTCTGTTGGAAACAAGTAGCTGCAGTGAATATTTTTGCATTGTGAGGATTTACAATGCTGCCTTAATGTGCACGCATTGCCGAGAGTTCCGCTAGTGTAGAGGCTCGTATTTTTAGTACCGATTCGTAGACTGTCAGCCGTTCACGTGCAAATTAAAATTGGCCGCCTTTTTTTACAGAAATATACACTGAAGTGACAAAAGTCATGGGATACCTCCTAATATTTTGTCGATCCTCCTTTTGCCCGGCGAAGTGCAGCAACTCGACGTGGCATGGACTCGACAAGTCGTTGGAAGTCCCCTGCAGGAATATTGAGCCGTGCTGCCTCTATAGACGTCCATAATTGTGAAAGTGTTGACGGTGCAGGGTTTTGGGCACGAACTGACCTCTCGATGATGTCCCATAAATGTTGGATGGGATTCATGTCGAGCGATATAGGTGGCCAGATCATTCGCTGGAATTGTCCAGAATGTTCTTCTAACCAATCGCGAACAATTCTGACCCGGTGATTTGGCGCATTGTCATCCATAAAAATCCCATCGTTGTTTGAGTACGTGAAGTCCATGAATGGCTGTAAGTGATCTCCAAGTAGCTGAAGGTATCCATTTCCAGTCAATGATCGGTTCAGTTGCACCAGAGGACCGAGTCCATGACATGTAAAAACAGCCCAGACCATTATGGAACCACCACCAGCTTGAACAGTGCCCTTGTTGACAACTTGGGTCCATGGCTTCGTGGGGTCTGCGCCACACTCGAACCCTACCATTAGCTCTTACCAACTGAAATCGTGACTCATCTGACTAAGCCACGGTTTTCCATTCGTTTAGGGACCAACCGATATGCTCACGAGCCCACGAGAGTCGCTGAGGTAATGTCGTGCTGTCAATAAAGGCACTCGGGTCGGTCTTCTGCTGGCATAGCCCAAGAAAGACAAATTTCGCCGCACTTTCGTATCGGTCACGTCCCTCGTACGTCCAACATTTGATTTCTGCGGTTAATTGACGCAGTGTTGCTTGTCTGTGAACATTGACAACTCTACGCAGACGTCGCTGGTCTCGGTCGTTAAGTGCAGGTGGTCGGCCACTGCGCTGTCCACGGTGGGATGTTATGCCTGAAATTAGATATTCTCGGCACACTCTTGACACTGTGGATCTCGGAATGTTGAATTCGCTAACGATATCCGAAATGGAATGACCCATGCGTCTAGCTCCAACTACCATTCCGCGTTCAAAGTCTGTTAATTCTCGTCGTGCGACCATAATCACGTCAAAGCCTCTTCTCATGAATAACTTGAACACAAATGAAAGCCCTGTCAAAGCACTTCGCATTTATACATTTTCTACGCGATACTACTGCCATCTGTATATTTGTATATTGCTATCCCATGAATTTTGTCATTTCAGTGTAGTATGTTTGATAATCATATCGCCGCCCTTAAATTTAGCCGTCCACGTGCTATGCGCCATCTTGCCCCCCGTTAGGATCGGCCCTGCCCGTATTTTGGAAAACTTACAGTACATTGCGACTCTTCGTAAAAATTATAGTTTTTAATTTAACTTTTAATATTTATTTCCTGAAATATTCATTAAAGACTATTTTATATATATTATGTATTATAAATAATTGATTTTTTGGCCAAGTATTATTCATTGTAATTTGTGAGAGAGATGGTGCAGATGAGGGCCGCAGGATTCTACAAAAGTTCAGAAACCCATGATTCCTTAAAGATGAAACCGTATATTCACTTTTTTTTTTTTTTTTTTTTTCATGAAAAAAATACCTGACTGAAAGAAATGATAGCCATCGCAGTATCATTTGTCAGACAGCTATTAATATCAGTTCACAGAAACGTTTGTTGAATCATTATTAATTACTGTTTGTTAAAAAAACATGAAAGATTTCTAATTACTATGATTATTTACTGAAAGGTACACACTTTCTTTCAATGATGCATTAAAATCTTTGCCTTTTTTATGAACGTTAGGTTTTACTTTTTCCTCCATCGATTTGCATCTTTGAAATTTAACAGTACGAAGGTGGAACTACCTTGATTACAGTCAATATTTATTTCAAAGCCAGCTGTCTAAGTTAATTTTTCAGAACCCAGTTCTTCGTTGTGTGGAAATGATACTAAAATAATTCAAGATTCATTAATTAGTATGCAATCGAAAAACGTGTGGACGGCTTGATATACCAATAAAGTGCATTTCGCACGATCTTTCAATTCACTTACTCTGCATGCCTTTACAGTATTAGTACGATCTAACTAGAACTGCTAAAAATAATAACACTTTCAGAACCGGGAATTTTATTATCCCATTATATGTGTTAATCCAAAAACAAATACCTTCACATAAGAATTCAATTCACGACCGTTTATCCAGTCCAGTTTTGCTGCCCTCATTACTGAAAAAGAAAAAGAAAATTGTTTGATACGAAATCTATTACTATATAAATTAATTAAAAATAATTAAAATTTTAAAATACCATGTACAGTCACCAAACCACTGTTGTTGTAAATTTTCAGTTTAAGTTTTCCTGGAAGAGAAGAATGAATTTGCGTGAATAACAATACAAAAAGTGAAAGAACAATGTATTCCTTCTGTATAGCATATTATTTTCAAAGATTTTTGTTAGAACAGATGGCCTATATTATGATTTCTTAGGTAGAGATTAATTTCTATCTAAAAACAAAGCATTAAAAAAATTCGTGGATTTCAAATTTATTTCTGGAGCAACAGTTACTTTTGGAAAATGTATCACTATACAGGCATAATGGGTAAGTTGTGTTAAATACAGAAATGTTTTAGTGTAAGAAAAAGTACGGAGGTAAGAACTAGTACGAAGGCCTAATGAGAGATAAATAACAGATCTACATAAAGACTTATTAGTTATACCTTAAATATTTTATTATCATGTTTAAGACTATCACCAAACGGTTCAATGTCGCTTAGACTGTGTCATTCTAGATATAAACTTTCTAGGGACTTTAGGTTTTATCCATGCAAGAACATGAAAAATGCGCGATATCCTTGGCAGGCTTCGAACTCTGGACCTCCCGAATGGCCGAAGTTTACAATGCCACGGCTCCAATCGACAAATTATTTGCCTTATACAACATTTTTAGGATAATAATATTTTGTAAAAATAGAAATTAAATTTCTGTTATATTTACTTTCAATCTGATTTCTGTATATGTTTGTTTTTCGATATGCTTTGTGCATTTTATATATTGACTTAACTTTGGTTATCTTTTGATATTTATTTTCTGCGAGTAGACTTCGTTTACTGAATTATTCTTTTCGTTACATGCCTAAAATTCTTCATACCAGCTTTATAATTTACACCTGCTCCATTACTAGCTCCGTTTTATTGTATTGCTCGGTTTTTTTCATTGTTCAGTGTGCCTGATCTCACCTCCTACATCATCCTTCCGACTTCAACATTTGTTCGATTTTTTCGATAGGGGTTGTCAGTCGAGTTCGAGTCCCCCCGGTTTGGTACCAATTAAAACGATATCAGTAGCTGAAAAGGAAAATAAAGTTTGCGAGCTAAGGAAATCAGTACATGATCTAAAATAAGTAGCTAGAGCTTGGAATTCTAGCTTAAAATTGTTCTAAATCTATCATTTAAAACAAAGGAAAGCAAACTTGTCCTTATTTTTCAAAAACAACAACAGACAATTCACGTTTACTTACTAGTATACTTAATTTTTAATTAATTATTTCTTTTGTAAATTCTTATTAAAAATTCGAAAATATACGACTTGAACAGTTTGGATGAATTATTGAATCTATAACAAATATCTATCACATATGCGGAATCAACTACGATAATAAGTAAATTCACTGCCTGCTTTCAAACAGAAAGTTGTTTGGTAGTGAATTTATATAGTTAGATAACGATTTTTTTTTTTTTTTAAATCTTTCCAGAAACTGTTGTAAATTATATTTAAAAAATGTCAAATTTGCCGGAAGATCTGCAGATATTTGTTTCTATTACTTAGAATTGCAGAATATCAAATTGTATTTAAATTAAACTTTCGACTTAAATAGCATGGTTTCATTAGACCACGTCAGCCAACTTATTGATTGCGACCTGTTCATCTGGTGTCCGCCGATAACATCGCGGACGAAAACGTCGCGGAGAAAACAACGCAAGGCGAAAACGTCGTGCTACAAAACATCGTGGGAAAAAACATCGGAAAGAGAAAAAATCGCAGTTCTAAAACATCGTACTACAAAACATCGTCGTAGAAAATAAAGCGATTCAAAAACTTCGCAGTTTAAAAACATCGTCATCGAAAATATCGTGGTAAAATATAAAGTATCTACAAATCATCGCATGACGATAACTTCGCAGACATGCTTTTTTCAGGTTTTAATTATTGTAAATGGATATTCCCATAATGATTTGTGAGCGCAGTATGTAAAGAAGGATAATTTTTATTTTCACATATTTTATTAACTAATAAATGTTTGCTGAAAAAGTAAGAAGGAAACTTAAGCATAAAAAATTAAATGCAAATTATAGATTATACTTTTCATGAAAAATTACCAGTAAAAACTTTATAAAAAAGATTTATTAATGGCCTTTGTTAGTTAACTATGTCGGTTTAAAATTCTATTAAGTGCTATAAGTTGCATTAATTTTCTATGCTTAAGTTCATTCTTATTTTCTCAGCAAAAATTTATTAGTTAATAAAAAGTATGAAAGTAAAAATTATCCTTCTTTCCATCTTGCGATCACAAATCAATATGGGAATATCCATTTACAGTTATTAAAGCCTGAAAGAAGCATGTCTGCGATGTTATTGTCATGCGATGATTTGTAGATACTTTATTTTTTAATACGATATTTTCGACGACGATGTTTTTAAACTGCGAAGTTTTTGAACCGCTTTATTTTCGACGACGATGTTTTGTACCACGATGTTTTAGAACTGCGATGTTTTCTCGTTACGATGTTTTCTCCCACGATGTTTTGTAGCACGACGTTTTTGCCTTGCGTTGTTTTCTCCGCGACGTTTTCGTCCGCGATGTTTTCGGCTGTAACCGTTCATCTAGTATTATATTATCATTATATTGTTTTATAACTTTCCTACGCACTGGTAGATCGCGAAGGCGTTCATGGATAAAAAACAAACTCAAGCCCACTAAAATACTTCCCAGCCCTCGATTCTTGGCGGTCTTTAAGCTTATTCAATTAATGATATAATTTGTGCAGAATTATCATACTTACCTTTTCCACTCAGAACATCTTTAGATTTATATTTCTTAGATTTTGCTGGCGATGCAGAGTAAAAAGGGATCTTATGTACTTTATCATCTGGTGGAAGACCCATTCCTACCCTGATCACTTTTTCTAAAAGTTCCAATTCTGATGCAGTGCACTTGAAATCACTTATCTGTGATCCGCTGTTTGGTGTTTTATCAGATGTAATACTGTTGCTGGTTTGGGTACTATCGGTTGTTGGAGTTCTGCTCCAGCCATCAGGTAACTGGCGACTTCCAAGATCTGTGTCGTTAGCCGAGGATGTTCCTGATTGCGAATGTTGCTGTTGTATTTTTTCTGTGTTGTTTTCAGTTTTATTTCTTTCATTATTCTCCGGTCCACAAATGTGTCTCATGGATGTTGCGGCTGAAATGACCTTATGTGTATTTTCCTTTTGAGTTAAATTCGGAAGAGATTTGGACTGTGTTAGACGCTTTACTTTGCGTTTCGCTTTCGTTTCTAGAAAAATATTCTGCGCTATACCGCCTATAATATCAGCAAAAGCGTCTTCGCTTAATTCTCTGGAATGCAGACTCTTAAATATGTCATTTGCATATTTACTAGTAGTAGTGTTTAATTTTTCTGATGCATCACTGCTTGTGTTGTCATTGCAAATCGACGTAGAGCTACAAGGATGGAGGAGATCTCGGCATTCCTGAGAGAGTTTTTGAAATATTTCTTGCAGAAGTACTATGGAATCATTAAAAAATATTTCTGATTTCTCATGTGTGTTGAATTTAGCATTTTCATCCCGATTTCGTTCGGGTTTATTATCCCCATGTTTTTGTGGGAAAAGAGTTCTGGATGTTTTCCCATTAAAACTTAAATTTACCCCTTGCTTTATTTTCCCTTCTTTAGATAAAGGTGTTGAAAATGCCCTTTTAATATCTTCTTCCTTAAAATTACGTTTAGTGGCGCTGTTTATAATCCGCGTAATGTTTTCATAAATACTTCCTGCGGATTGCTTGGAAGGTGACATTTTAATGGTTTGAGGTGTGGTACACGTTTCTTTCTCAGAAGTAGCTTTCACAATGGGTGTTTTACACAATGAATCGTTACATTCATACCAGGTTGTACTAGATGATGGTTCGACTTGATCAACGGCACATGTCTGTTCAAATATAGTTCCAAGAACTTCTCTTTCCTTCACTGACTTTTCTTCCTCGTCACTTTCATTTTTCCTAATAAAAAGTTTTTCTTTACTCTGAGGTATACTTCTTAGTGCATTTCTTTTTTTAAGAATTGAAAGTCGTGATTCACAGCTGGAACAGCTGCAGTTAAAACTGCATTCATCATCAGCCATTGAAGAAAACCCTTCTTCTGTTTCTTTCGCTTTGTACTTGCACATTTTATTAACAATTTTTCGTTTTTGACTATACAGTGCTAATTTGATATTTTGCTTCTTATTTTCGCTAATATTTACAGAACTGTCAATTTTACAGCTGCTTGATATGTTCTCTTTCATAGTTAGTTGTTTTCTGTTGTCGTATGTACTATTACAACAGGAACTAACAGGCACCAGTATGTTACCTGAAATGTTTTCTTGAGAGAAAAGCCGCGGGTTTAAATTGTATGGTTTGGCAACATTGCACTTTGATAAATTCTGACTCGTTTCAGTGTTGTTTGTAACATCAGGTACTTTGTTTCTGTCATTTTTCTTAGAATACATTTCTGAAAGAGGAATGTAATGAGGATTCATGCATGATGTCTGACCTTTCTTTTCGCGAAGTCCGTCATTACCATGGGTAGTTACAGGTAAACCAATTTCATTTATCGCTTTATTTGGAATTTTTGCTTTAGTTTCTTCTTTAGTATTTCTGTGTGCTTTCTCAGGCAGTTTCGATGGCCAGAACATACTTTTGTGAGCAATATTCGTAGCTTGTCCTGAAGTACTTTGTGCAACTGCAGCACCAGTTTGAATCGATCTATTTGAATCAGAATACTTTGATGTCATACTTTTATGAAATCTGCCCGAAGCCGTAGTTCTTAAATCTGTTACCCGAGAATGCATTATATTTGGACCTATGCTAAGTCTGTGAAAGTTAGTTTTTGTTGATAAATTATGGTTTATCGTCTGTTGCTCAATTACTCTTGAAGGGTCTGAAACTCCATAGCAACTCTGCCTGTAAGTATTCGTGTTCCTTAACGAACGTCTGTGCCATTCTGCTTGCAATCTGTCTTTACTAAGCACTGGAATATATTGCTTGTGCAATGACACATAGGATTCCTTGGTATCATTTCCATCAGCCGCTGTGCAAAATTCACTAGCAGAAATTGATTTTTCTTCAGCCTTAATTGTTCTTGGGAGAGATCCATACCTAGCTATGTTTGATATATTTAACTGAGGTAACGATGCATTTTTCCTATCAAATAAGGTAACCTTTGTGGAAGTTCTTGGAAAAGTAGGGGTTTTCTTTACCTGAGGACCTTCTACATATGTCACATTTACCAATTCTTTTTCAGTGCTTACTTTTTTATTTCTTACACCAAATTTTAAATCTTTCTTTGCATTCTCATCGTTTTTCTCAAATCTGAGTATTGGACGGATCGGTTTCATTGCTTTATATATGTCCATATTCTCTTTGTCCTCATCGCTGTTCCCTTTTTGAGAAGGAGCAGCTTTGTTATCTATGGCATAGTATTTATTCATAGGAGTAGGTGCGAACTGTACATGCTTATTCTCTTCTTTCGATACCAGTTTCTGCAAAGGTTCTTTGTTCAAAAATAAAATACCAGCATCTTTATGTACTTCTAAGAAGGCGCTACATTCTAGAGTTGTAAAATTTCCTCCTTCATCAGACGATTCGTTACTGCTATTTTGTAACGCCGGTCTTATGGTTCGGAAACTACTATGCAAAGTACCTTGTTTATTATAACAGTCTTCTTTTTTCTTATCCTTAATGTGTGATTTTCGTGATAATCCAAGAATACGGTTCCAGAATGATGGTTTGGATTTTATTTCTTCATTTGATGGTGGATACCTGACACTCTTGTTCATAGCTGTGGAAAATTCATTACAATATAATATTTATTTTACAGATGTGTGCTTAGTGTATGAGGCTCTGAAAGTTAGAATGTTCCAAATCATTTAAAAAAAGGGGGAATATCCATCTGCAGTTACAACTACAAATGGCCTAATACAGTGAAAGTAAATGCCTAATACAGTGGAAAAAAAAAGGCTTTTGTATTTTGTTAAAGTGGAATTCCTGGCATAATTTAAATTAAAAAATATGTAACCTTAACAGTTTGCTTTCTTTCAGAGGCTCACACAAAGTGCACATAATTTATCAAAGCAATTAAAAGTATTGATAAAATATGAGTAATAACTAAGATATTTTCATATTTGGAAAAATTGTACAGGACTTGATATCAGTAAGTAGTTTTACAGATTCTGAAAGTAAGTAGATTTTACTTCAAATATCATACAGTATCTAAGTTCACATACTGCATAAGAATAAACTATGGATATGATACATTCAAGCAGCCAATATAGCATATTAGTCTTGGCTATAAGTTAAGTAATAGTAGACTTTCAACTGTCCCATGATTAGATGCCAAGGGTTATTTGGGAATGGGAGTATAAGGAAGAGAAAATTATTTCTAGCTGCTATTCTCTAAATATGATATTTTTATGGACGGATTTGTTTGCAAATAACACGGAACTACATTATTCAGTTTTAGAAATTGTGAATGCCTTCTTTTTCTAGTATGTGTTTCTTAACTTCAGTTTCACCAACTGTTAGTGGTTCTCAAGTTCTTGGACTAAAAATTGGGCAACATGTCATGGAGTGAGAAATGATTTTCATTTCTTCCTCCACATGCCTTCGTGGTGTAGTGGTCAGCACGCTCGGCCGTGGTTTGAGTCCCGGCGAGGGCATTGTTAATTTTTCACGTCTTCCTGCTTTAAAAAAAAAAAAAAAAAAAAAAAAAAAAAAAAAAAAAAAAAACACCCACTAGTGACTACAGTGGCGCCCGAACTAAAAAAGATGGTGGATGAGGATTCTCCACCACCAGGATTTAGCGATTGGGTCCACTAATCCCCAGTTGTCCTTTAAAAGGGGAATAATATAAAGTATTTCTCCCGTCGTCTTAGCATGACTTCGTGATGTAGTGGTCAGCACAGTCGGCGCGTATTGGAGAGTCACTGCGAGGGCATTGCTCACTTTTCACGTCTTCTGCTTCCAAAATATCCTAATGTCTCTACATAGTGAATTTTCTATATATCTGTATTCTACGAATTATTATTGGTCACATTAAATGGTTTCATTTGTATTATTACGAGAATGTTCACTGCATTTTTATTTGATACAAATGCTAAAATTTTTCCCTTATTAATAGCAAACAAAATAATGAATGGAATAAGGGAAATAAAACGAATGGTAACTGAAATAAAAATATTAGGAAGTTTGAAATGTTGGAAAATTCTGTTTGCAATGCATAATATTACAGCAGAACAGTGAGTGCACCCAGGGCTGGATTAAAACTTCAGTAGGTTCTAAAGATTTTAAAAGATTATAAAGTAAATGTATGGTATGCCCCACATACATTTACGCCAGATTTCTATCTCTCGCACTATATATTCTATGGTAAAATCGGCAATGGAAAATGTTTGTCGTGCTTCTTTTCCTGAATGCCTAAGGATATTTTTGTGTCCTTTTTTTTCCACTCTTGATGCCGTAAGCACATGTTCATTTTGCTTAATGATTTTAATTTACCTCTGAGTACACCTAAATTCTTGTGGAATACCAATTAATCGCGGAACCAATTTTGGAGCTATTACTTTCTAAATTTCCTTACTTAACATTTACATTTGATTTTGGGGTGTAAGTATCATTTATCCGATTAATTTTATATAATTTTGATTGTGGATATATAATAGACATATATTATATGCATATTATGTCTGAATTTAACAAATATTTTTGCTTTTACATTTTTTACAATGACTCGTAGTTGGCAACATTTTTGCACACTTACAGGCATTTTACTTTTTACATTTTTGGGATTTACAACATGGTTTTTACAATAGCTTTCACAGGTTACAATAGCTTTACACTCAATTTTACGTTGTATTAGAGACCTCTATTTTTACAGTTAGCGGTACAAACTACTCAACTGTTTAGCAAATGCTGGTACAGCTCAGAAATTCAAATATGTAACTAGGTAAGTTAAATTAAAACTTACTATTTACTTGCCTTTTTATTTTTATTTTAATTGTTGTATGTAGTTTATTTTAGATTTACATGCATAATTCGTGTATGGGATGTTTCCTGTAGGCAAGAGTTTCTAAATTACTTTGGTTTTCTACTCTTATTGACTTTTAATTTGTTTAATTAATTTTGACTCTACTCATTTACTTTCTTTCTCAGGGTTCCACTGTTTGGATTTCTTTTTTTGTTATTCACAGCATCTGATTTTGCTTTTGGTTTTTAATTTTTCTTTTACCTTTGCGTCTATGGATGACGAAACACGAATTGAGTAATTGAAGAGTTAGGTATAGGGGCAACTCCCCCTTGATAAGTCTGTCTCCTGCCTACTCAACAATTATTCACTTGTGCAATTTTTAGAAGTATAAATGTTTTTGAATGATGTATTTTTTCATGGTTTTGATGGGTGCAATTAATTTGCATATGCTCTTATAGTTTAAATGATATTGTAAATTAATTAATTCGCAGCAATGATGTTTTTTTTTTTTTTTTTTTTTTTTGTTTGTTTGTTTGTTTCTTTGCAATTGGGATTTCTTAATTAAATTTAATTTTATGTTTGCTTTTTACGAATAGAAATTTTTTTATTTGCTTTATACGAATAGACAATATTTGTTAAATTCAAATTTCATTCCTTGCAGCAATGGCGCAAGAAAATTATTTAAATTTAATTTTACTATTTTCTTGTGAAACATGTTATGCTGGAAGTGGTAACAATCGTATAGGGTTTCCAAAAACAGTATTGTCTGTTGGCTGTTTTAAGTATTTTATAGAATAAATACACTAGCGATCGGCAAGTAAATCGTAGCCTTCAGATCCTAAAAAAGATACACTCTCCACACTGATGTATATTGATCGAAGTGCAATGCTAGTTCGGTCACATTTCAAGCTGAGCATCAGAATCACAAAAGATTGTCAGCGAACTGATGATACTGGCACGCTGTACATTGATGGAATAAAGCTAGCGGAATTTGTTCTGTTCAATGTGATGGTGTTCTGCAAGCGGGGAACACAACGCTCTGCTGGAATAGTCCACATACTTCTTATTTACGGTAACGTTTATTTTCAATCTCAAGGGTTACCATTCAGCTAAAAAAATTCAAAGGACTAGCGTTAAAAATATTTAATAAAATTTTGGGAAAATTGGAATTAGAAGATGAAAATTTCTCGGCGTTCAGAAAGCTCATAAATCAAGCTTGACATATTATACTCTCAAAGCACAGGTAACTGATTTCCAAAGCATTTCGAAAACAAAAGATGAAACGAAAGACTAGTTTCATGAACACTGAAAATGTTTTAAGCTGCTGTCCATATACTTCTTTGGATACATTCTTGAATCTTTAACGAATGCGGCTCAGGCATCTATGGATTTTACGTTTATATGGTATAATATTCTATGACGTAATTTAAATTTATACAACCTTTCAGTCAAAAATTGTCTCCCTTCGCATTCACCTGCGATGCTGTTTTTTCTCTTTTTTTCCCTTCACAGAGGCACATTTGCTGAAATACACTCATGTCCATAAATTAAGGATAATTCGGAGTCACGCGGAAATCGAACTCTAAAATAAATATATCACCTGTAAAATCACTACACACATCTTCAAGAATCATATGCAAATTTCAGGAAGTAACCAGATGACACCGATGGTACGTCACAATGACGGATGTATAAGGAATACGGGCAAAGAAGTAAAATTGTTCGCAGGCGCTTTGTAAGCATAAGGACGCATTTAGATGATTATTTACGTGGTAGAATTACCGGCCGTCTGGAATGTGGGCGTACCCAACTGGAAGTATCAGACGAACTTGGAACTGCCCAGAGTGTTATCTCCAGGCTTTGGCAACGATTCCAAGATGATGGTAATGTGAGTAGACGTTACAGCACAGGTCGCCCCAGAGTTACAACGCCGAATGAGGACCGGTATTTGGCAGTTACTGCCAAAAGAAACAGGCGGAGCACAGCCTCAGACCTGTCTCGTCAGCTCTCTTCAGCCACTGGTACGACAATTTCAAGGCAGACCGTGTACAGACGCTTAGGGCAGATTGGTCTATATGCTCGTAGACCTGTCAGATGCGTTCCACTTACTACAACTCACTGTCGCCTGCGGTTAGCCTGGAGTAGAGAGCATGCATTGTGGACACCGCAACAGTGGGCTTTGTGTGATGTTTTCCGACGAGTCCAGGTTTAGCTTGCAGTCTGATTCTCGCCGGACTTTCATATGGAGAGCTCCAGGTACCCGTTACCACCAAGAAAACATCATTGAACGACACCGTTACGGTGGTGCAGGAGTGCTCGTTTGGGGTGGAATTATTCTGGGTTCCAGAACTGACCTGCATGTTCAAATTGGAACCATGACAAGCCAAATCTATCGGGACGTCATTCTGGAACAACATGTACGTTTGTTTCGGGGCGCCATGGGCGCACAATTTGTGTTTATGGATGACAACGCCCGTCCTCACCGTGCAAACATCGTAAGCGAATGCCTTCAATCGGAGGATATCACCCGTATGGACTGGCCAGCATTCTCACCGGACTTGAATCCAGTAGAGCACGTGTGGGACATGCTTGGCCGACGAGTTGCAGCCCGTCAACCTCCTCCTACATGTCTACCGGAACTTCGGAGAGCATTGCTTTTTGAGTGGTGTAATATCCCCCAAGATCAGATCGATAATTTGATACTCAGCATGCCTAGGCGTTGTACGGACTGTATTGCATCGTCTCTGGGAGACATACAATGTATTAACAATCATACCAACCATGTAATATTTTTTTTTTTTGTAAATAGGTTTTTT